ATAAACCCAAACCTGTACTTCTTTTATATAAGTCCATCCCATTTTCCTATTATTGCTTCAGATTAGCCCCACATCAGTTTCCTGCTATACTATTATAGTAGCTTCCCAACTGTCTGCTTCTATCCTTGTTTTCTGATCTAAGCTACATAATTATGGACACAATGGTATACCATGCATAGATTTATCTAGAGGTCAGTCTTCCAGCCAATTCAGCCTTCTAAATCATAGCCTCAGCACCTAAGTAAAAATGTGCTAGGAAATCCCAGATAGCAATTCCAAACCCTGTGCCATGGAAAAGCTAAGGCTGACTCCCAAGATTTTACTGACTTATTTGAAATGAATTTCAAAAGCTTAGTTGATGCTTTATAGTCTACAGCAGCTTTTGAAGCAGTAAAATTCAAGACAGGAGGAGCACTCCTAGAGAACCATTTAAGACTTTGCTACTCAAAATGGGGAGCCCAGGCCAGCAACACCTGCCATCACCCAGGATCTTGTAGAAATTCAGAATCTCAGACTCCATTCCAGACTTGATGAATCAGAGTGTGCTTTTTTTTTTTAAATCTTCACCTGAGAACATTCTTTCTATTGCTTTCCAGAGAGAGTGGGAGAAAGAGAGAAACATCCATGTGAGAGAGACACATCGACCAGCTGCCTCCCGCATATGCCCCGATTGGGGCCAGCGATCGAGCCCGCAATAGAGGCCCGTGCCCTGGGCCAGAACTGAACCCAGGACCCTTCAGTCCGCAGGCCGATGCTCTAGCCACTGAGCCAAACCGGCCAGGGCCAGAGTGTTCATTTTAACAAGATCCCCAGATAATATGTGGGTACATTAAAGTTTTAGATGCACTAATTTAAAGCAAATTGGGTATTTGAAAAACTGTACAATAAATTGGAGGTGATTAATCACGTTTCCATTAAGACAATCATAGGCATCTTTTAAAAAATAAGCTCGATTAATGAATTTTAGCCGACTAACTTGCTTTTTAAAAAATATTCTATCAAGATATGCCCATTGCCCGGCCGGGAGTGGCTCAGCGGTTGAGCGTCGACCTAGGATGCAGGCAACCGGGGTTCGATTCCCGGTCAGGGCACGTGCCCGGGTTGCGGGCTGGACCCCAGTCAGGGGGATGCAGGAGGCAGCCGATCAATGACTCTCTCATCATTGATGTTTCTATCTCTCTCTCCCTCTCCTTTCTTCTCTCTGAAATCAATAAAGATATATTAAAAAAAAAAAAAAAAGACATGCCCATTAAAATTTTCTAATGCAGTGGTTAAGAATGGAGATATTAGTTGGAGGAGAACTTGCCACTAGCTTTTTATGTTAAATCGTATTTTATATACTACTCTATTAAAATCTAGGTATGTCCACAAGTGTCTTACATATCATGAGATCATATGTTTCTGTAGAAAAAAGTTAAGAACTAATGGGTACAGTTTTTCAAACATTTCACTGAATTAGTTCTAAAGAAGAAGACAATGAACATTTATCTCAGGTCAAAGGGCCTGCCATAATCATGAATTTCTTTTAAGTCTTATGTATTATGTAAACGTAAATTTTGTAATAATATGTTTTAAAATATTTTAAAAATCCACTACAAACAGTAAAGGTGATGAGTGAAGTAAATAACTCAAACTGTGTTATAGCCTAAGGCAATCAAATTTTTCCAGATGTTATAGAACTGAATTAAAATATTTAGTAAATGAACCAAAACCAGATATAGGGGGGAAGAAGGAATATTCCCAGCATTCCAATGGTATCTTTAAATGTATTTTTATTGATTTACCTGGGAACCATGTATATTCCTATTTACAAGATAATATGGCTTTACTTCTGATAAACTTACAAATGAATTCTCAGAAAACCCCTCTTTTTTTAAGTTAGAGACTCCATATATTTACAAATATGTCTACTGCCATTTAAAGGTATCAGCTTATATTTTGATTATTATGTGAGAGTCATAAAGTCTGTTGTTCAAACTATATATTTTTACTATAAAAAGATAATAGCTGGAAGAAAATTCACAAGTGACATGAAACTCCTCTCCTTTGTATATACCTAAGAGAATCAAACATACACAAATACTTGTGCTTGAATGGTCATAGTACCATTATCCATAATGCCCCAAAAGTGGGAACAACCCAAGTGTTCATTAACTGATGAACGGATAACCAATGTAGAATATCAATACAATGGGATATATTACTTATCAATGAAAAGGAATGAAGTACTGATGCATTCTTCAATATGGATGAACTTTGAAAGTATTAGGCTAATAAAATTAAAAAAAAAATACCACAAGGCATTACTTACCCACTTAAGTAAAATACATTAATTTACTTATCCTTAAAAAAAAAGAAAAGAAAGTATTAGGCTAAGTGGAAGAAGCCATTCAGAAAAGACCACATATTGTCTGATTCCATTTATATGAAATGTCCAGTATTGGCAAATCTATAGAAACAGAAAGCAGATAAGTGGTTGCCTGGGGCTGGGAATGGGAGCAGAAATTGACTAGAAATAAATATGAGGGAACTTTTGGTGGTGATAAAATAAAATGTTCTAAAACTGGATTGTGGTAAAAGTTACACAGCTATATACATTTGCTAAACATCACAGAACTGTACATTTAAAATGGGTGAATTTTTATGTAAATTATACCTCAGTGCAGCTGTTAAAATTCAAAAAATTATAAATCACCCTCCCCTTAACTTTCTAAGGATATATGCCAAGTTTATTGTATGTCATCACACATACATACACCTGGCACATTGCCACATAAGACATATGTGTACCCTGGTTTGATGATCATGGTTCTGAGGTATTCCAAGCATCTGTTTATTCTTAACATGTTTGATAAAAGAAAGAGATGCGCTTAACTCATTAACAGCATCCTAACAATCATAATGCCAAAGAGAAGGCTGGAGGAAAAGAAAACTTTAAAGTAATAAAATGGCCTTAAGTCTTGGGTGGTATAAAGATGGACTGGCATCAAGGTCCTTTTCTAACCTTAGTTTTTATTGATCAAATATATCAATTACCTTTTCCTTCCCAAATCCAAGTATATATGAAAAATTAGTATATGATTGTTAAACTAAACACCATACACAAAATTTTATTGGAATATTTTATTTACATTTTATATTTAAAGAGAATCAATACAAATCAGGACATATTTACAGCATTTCAAATCAGTATACAAGAATGCAATGGTTTCATCTGTTCTACATTTCTACATTTAACAAACAAAAAAATACATGTCTGTTCTGCTTTTGCTTAAATTCTGCTGGAATCTGCACTGGAAACAAAACTCTAAAACCAAAGATAAGCCACAAAATACAAATAAAGTGCATTTTTAAATAGCTCTATTTAACTTTGGTGGATGAAGCTTCTAACTTTATATTAAGGCACCTGGAATTCTCTCCCCTCCCTCAATTCTTTTTCAAACACCAAGAAAATGCATTCACAAAATTTATAGCTACATGGACAGAATTTTAGTTTACCTAATATAATTTTATCTCATTTAGGTAAAATATAAACTCAGTTTTCAAAGTCAACATTGTTTGGAAAACATCTTCTACAGACTTTCTGTAGACTAATTCATATACAAAGATCAATTACCAATTTTTGTGTGACATCATTTTCAACTGGTATGATAATTTATATACTCTGCTTCTGAAAATCCCATAAATAAAGTTTAAGAAATAGTTATACAGCAGTTTTGTAAGGAAACTTTTTGTCTATAATTTTGTGTCAAATTAGTGTCACTAATATACCAACCAATCCAGTCCAGTCCATATTCATCTGATAAACTATGCTCGACACTTACATGAAGTACATTTAGCCTAATTTTAAAAAAAGAACAGTTAAAATGATTGTTTTGCTTTAATCTTGTTCTATCAACTTAATGTAGCTTAAATAGACATTTCATGAAGTACTAGTAAGTCTGCATTGCTTTTTACAATACAATTCCAGATCAATATAAGCACCTGGAGAAAAACCCTGACACATATAACCCAAGCTAAAGTAGTAGTATTTTTAATTAAGATACTATTATAAAATAAAATGATTATAGCTACTTCACATTTTATAAGCAACATGTTTTTATAAGAAAATTGTTATAAATGAAAAACATGACTACTTGAAGAGAGTTTTGAATGTTTAAAAATCTTGCTATCACTATTGAGAGGAAACTAGCTTATGAAAAACATAATGAGTTTGTGAAAAAAAGTTAATAGGTTAAATATTTTAAGCCATTTAAGTATAGCATAATATTAGTCATCTCAGCACTTTCAGTATCATTCTTACTTTATTAATTTATCCAGTTCATTAATAGCAAACTAGGCCTTGATTGGCAGTTCTGTTATAACTAAAGGTTCAAGCTTTCTATTGACACAGATTTTATGATTTAATTTCTCGAACAGCAGTCTCTTGAACAGGAGTTTCATCTTCTTCAAAGGTTGGGTTGTCAACATGAGGAACAACATCCACTGCCACAGAACTTGCTTCATGGTTTACCAGCTGTAGATTTTCATCTTTAGAATGAAATAACAATTTTAGGATGATTTTACCCCTCTCTTCTTTCAGACAAAATTCAACTCTCATGTCTAAGATGCCTTTCTTGCCTAATTCCATAATACTCTGATTATTACACTTATTCTGTTTCTTTAATAATTATATGATTTATTCTATGTCTTACTTAAAGTACCTATGGCATTATTATATTAATTTATAATTACTCTTTTTTTATTCACCTGTGTGCTTACTTGTACCTAGATTATAGCCTCATTAAGAGCAAAAGTTATGTCTTCTGCTTCTTTTCTGTCCTAAATATAACAGTTCTTAAACCTAGCTTCGTATTGCAATCACCTGGGCACTTTAAAAAATTACCTATGCGTTTTCAAATGCATAGATAGATAAAGAAAAAAAAAACACCCAGGAAGTTGGGGAGAGTGCCCCAAATGGAATGCAAATGGTAACAAATGAACTTAATCATATTACAGATGAAATATATAACCATCCTGAAGATAATGGAGAAGACTATATCCTTTAAGGCTAAAAACAAAAATAACTGTACCCTAGTTAGTGAAAATGTTTTTCACAGGGTTGTGAGTTAGCAATATTGAAACTATTTTTGTGTGTTCTAGGATGAACAAATAAATAAATATATTGTATATAATGAGAGCCAGGTTTCTCACTGTCAGAGAAATAAATTACAAATAGAGAAAGAGGAAGGCAAGAATAAACTCTGGTATGTTAGATTGTAGATGGATATAACAGTATGAGCTCACTGTGTCTCAGATGGATGGATAGATGATAGATGGATAGATAGATGAATAGATGGGTGTAAATGTGTGTGCATATTTGCATGATTACATATTTCACAATTTTGTTCATAAAAAAGGGTTAATAGCAATGACATCCCAGTAGCAATGAACATATCTAGTACCCAGGTTTCAAAATATTGTTCTTCAATAAAAGGCCCCTTGAAGAAATTGCTGATTCTAGGTCCAGGGCAAAGACAGTAGCAGATTAACCTAGATTCTAGCCTGGGGTTAGCAAACTATAGTCTGTGAGCCAAATCCAGACCTAAGAGTGGTTTCATACTTTTAAAAGGTTATAAGACAAACAAACAGAAATGCAACAGAGACTTATGACCTTCAAAGTCTAAAATATTTACTATCTAGTCATTTACAGAAAAAGGTTGTGGTGCCAGAAAGTACTAAAAAAAAAAAAAAAAAAAATTTGGGCATATTGAAAGAAAACAAACCAACTTGAGAGCGTTCTCAATGACCAAATAAAATCTAGGACAACCTAAGCAATGAATAGAACATAAGAATAATATTATAGAAGAAAAGAAATATCTACAAATCCATGTTATTATAAATAATTAAATAAATAAATAAATGGAAAAGGATAGCTCTTCATCAAAACAGAAGCTTAATTAATGTAGGAAGAAGGATAGAAATTAAAAAATCACCATTAGCACACACTTCGGTAATAACTATTACAAATAAGAAGCACCAATATTTGCTAAAATTAGTGGGTAAAAGTATGATGAGAAACAGGATATTTTCATAGTCTCCAAGTGTTTCTTTATATGATAATAATTACAAAGGGCAAAATAGTAACTTTAAGAGGAGAAGCTTGGCAGACACCACCCTTAATCAACTGAGCAAAGTTCAAACTATCAGTAGTAAGACACAGACATTGTGTGACTCATTATATGATATAAGGAAGAAAAGGGCACATCATTTCTGTGGTATTTTTGCCTAAAATAGAAAAGGACAATGAATTTAATCATTGGGAAACATGAGACAAGTCCAAATTGAGAGGAATTCTACAAAATAAATGACCAGTAATCTTCAAAAGTGTCAAGGTCATGAAAGACAAAGACTTAGGAATAGCCACAGACTGAAAACTAAGAAGACATTACAATTAAATGCAATGCAGACCTCAAAAAATTAGGTATAGAAGGAACATACTCAAATATAATAAAAGCCATATATGACAAACCCACAGCTAGTATCTTAATCAACAATGAAAAACTGCAAGCTTTTTCTCTAAAATCAGGAACAAGACAAGTGTGCACACTTTCACCACTCCTATTCAACATAGTATTGGAAATCATAGCCAGAGCAATTAGTCTGGAAAATGAAAAAAGCCCTCAAACTTAAAAAGGAAGAAGTAAAACTGTCTGTTTCTAGATGACATGACCTTATATAAAGAAAATACTAAAGATTCCACCAAAAGACTATTTGAACTAATGAATTCAGTAGAGTTTCAGGAGATAAAATCAACGAACAAAAACCATTAGTGCATTTCTATACACTAACAATGAAATATCTAGGAAATAAAGAAAATCCCATCTACAATAGCATCAAAAACAATAAAATAGTTATGAATTAATTTAACCAAAGAGGTGAAAAATCTGTACAATGAAAATTATAAAACATTGGTGACCAATATTGAAGAATATACAGATAAATGGAAAGATCCCATGTTCATGGATCATCACAATTAATATTATTAAAATGTCCGTACTACTCAAAGCCATCTATAGATCCAGTGTGATCCCTATCAAAATTCCAATGGCATTTTTCACAGAAATATAAAGAAAATCCTGAAATTCATACGGAACCATAAAAGATGCTGAATAGCAAAAGCAACAAAGTGGGAGGCATCACATGTCCTGGTTTCAAACTATACTACAAAGCTATAGTAATCAAAACAGTGTGGTACTGACATAAAAACAGATGCATACATCAATGAACAGAATTGAGAGCCCAGAAATACACCTATGCATATGCAGTCAACTTATTTTTGACAAGGGAGCCAAGAATACTCAATGGGGAAAAGATAGTCTTTTCAATAAATGGTATTGGGTAAATTGTATATTCACATGCAGTACGATGAAACTGGACCCCTACCTTACACCACTCTCCAAAATAAACTCAAAATGGATTAAGGACTTAAAACATAAGAACTGAAACCCTAAAACTCCTAGAAGAAAACATAGGGAAAAACTCCTTGACATTGGCCTTGCAACAATTTTTTGGCTATGACACCAAAGCACAAGCAACAAAAGCAAAAATCAACAAGTGGGACTATAACAAACTAAAAAGATTGTGCACAGCAAAATAAACAACAGAATGAAGAGGCAACTTATAGAATGAGAGAAAATGTTTGCAAATCATGTATCACATAAGGTGTTAATATCCAAAATATATGAGGAACTCATACAACTCAATAGCAAAAAACCCCAAATAATCCAATTAAAACATGGACAGAGGAAATGAATAGATATTTTTCCAAAGAATACATACAAATGGCCAACAATTACATGAAAAGATGCTCCATATCACCATCAGGGAAATGCAAATGAAAACCAAAATGAGATATGGTCTCACACTTGTTAGGATAGGTATTATAAAACAGGCAGGAGATAAGTGTTGGTGAGGATACAGAGAAAAGAAAACCTGCTCAGTTGGTTGGCGTATTGTCCTGATGCACCAGGGTTGTGGGTTCAATCCCTGGTCAGGGGGTATATAAGAATCAACCAATGAATGCATAAATAAGTGGAACAACAAATGGATCTCTCCTCTCTAAAAAATCAATCAATAAAAAAAATTGTAAAAATCTTTTTAAAAAAGAAAGAAAACCTTAGTGCTATGTTGGTGGCAATGTAAATTGGCACACTATGGAAACAAACAATATCACAGTTCCTCAAAATATTAAAAATATAACTACCATACGATCCAGCAATTCTGGGTATGTATCAGAAGGAAATTATATCACTATCTTGAAGAGATATCTGTATTTCCATATTCACTGCAGCATTATTCACAATTGCCAAGACATTGAAACAACTTAAGTGTTCATCGACAGATGAATGGATAAATAAAATGTGATTATATATACAGGGTATTATTCAGCCATGAGAAAAAAGGAAATCCTGCCATTTTCAAGACATGGATAGATCTTGAGGGCATTGTTCTAAGTGAAATAAGTCAGACAGAGAGAGGCAAATACTACATGAGATCACTTATATATGGAATCTAAGGGGGGGGAAAGCCAAACTCATAGAAACAGAGTATATTGATAGTTGCCAGGGGCTGGGGAGTAGAGGAAATGTTAGTCAAAGTGTACAAACTTCCAGTTATAAGATTAATAAGTTCTGGGGATGTAATGTTCAGCATGGTGACTATAGATAACAATACTGTATTATATACTTAAAAGTTGCTAAGAGAGTAGATCTTAAATGTTTTCTCCATATGCAAAAATTTTATAATTATGTGAGATGATGGTTTTCTTAACTAACATTAATGTGATAATCATTTTGCAATATATATGTGTATCAAATCATGTTGTACACCTTAAATTTACACAATGTTATATATCAAGTATGTTTATCTCAATAAGGCTGGGGGGGGAAGAATAAAAAAGGAAATGCAATGTGTGGTCCTGGGACAGAAAAAGAATATTATTGGGTCAATTGGTGAAATTTGAGTAACATCTATAGTTTAGTTTATATTTTATCAGTTAATTTTCTGGTTTTGATCATTGTATATGGTTATATAAGATTTTAACTTTTGGAAAGTTGGGTGACAGGTATATAGGCATTCTTCGTACTATTTCTGAAGCTTTTTTGGTCAGCCTGAAATAATTTCAAATTAAAATTAATAAAAATTTAANACCTGCTCAGTTGGTTGGCGTATTGTCCTGATGCACCAGGGTTGTGGGTTCAATCCCTGGTCAGGGGGTATATAAGAATCAACCAATGAATGCATAAATAAGTGGAACAACAAATGGATCTCTCCTCTCTAAAAAATCAATCAATAAAAAAAATTGTAAAAATCTTTTTAAAAAAGAAAGAAAACCTTAGTGCTATGTTGGTGGCAATGTAAATTGGCACACTATGGAAACAAACAATATCACAGTTCCTCAAAATATTAAAAATATAACTACCATACGATCCAGCAATTCTGGGTATGTATCAGAAGGAAATTATATCACTATCTTGAAGAGATATCTGTATTTCCATATTCACTGCAGCATTATTCACAATTGCCAAGACATTGAAACAACTTAAGTGTTCATCGACAGATGAATGGATAAATAAAATGTGATTATATATACAGGGTATTATTCAGCCATGAGAAAAAAGGAAATCCTGCCATTTTCAAGACATGGATAGATCTTGAGGGCATTGTTCTAAGTGAAATAAGTCAGACAGAGAGAGGCAAATACTACATGAGATCACTTATATATGGAATCTAAGGGGGGGGAAAGCCAAACTCATAGAAACAGAGTATATTGATAGTTGCCAGGGGCTGGGGAGTAGAGGAAATGTTAGTCAAAGTGTACAAACTTCCAGTTATAAGATTAATAAGTTCTGGGGATGTAATGTTCAGCATGGTGACTATAGATAACAATACTGTATTATATACTTAAAAGTTGCTAAGAGAGTAGATCTTAAATGTTTTCTCCATATGCAAAAATTTTATAATTATGTGAGATGATGGTTTTCTTAACTAACATTAATGTGATAATCATTTTGCAATATATATGTGTATCAAATCATGTTGTACACCTTAAATTTACACAATGTTATATATCAAGTATGTTTATCTCAATAAGGCTGGGGGGGGAAGAATAAAAAAGGAAATGCAATGTGTGGTCCTGGGACAGAAAAAGAATATTATTGGGTCAATTGGTGAAATTTGAGTAACATCTATAGTTTAGTTTATATTTTATCAGTTAATTTTCTGGTTTTGATCATTGTATATGGTTATATAAGATTTTAACTTTTGGAAAGTTGGGTGACAGGTATATAGGCATTCTTCGTACTATTTCTGAAGCTTTTTTGGTCAGCCTGAAATAATTTCAAATTAAAATTAATAAAAATTTAA